TTGATGGTGAGTTTTTTGGAAAGTGTGGGCCACGCAACCCAAGCTTATTAAAAAAACCCAAAACCTCGCTGCAGTGAAATCAAAAATTCTCAAAGAGTAGCTGTACTTGAAAGCTGCGTTGTCCTTGAGTCATCTGAGAAACACACGGCGTGATCAGCGTGTTGTATCTATTAAGACTGCTCGCCCTCCGGAGTATTACTCGCCTCTTGCTCCGAGCTCAGGGGTCGGCGCCTCCCTCTAGCTCCTCTCCTTCATCAGGGACCAAAAAGGAGAGAGGGTATGCTGCAGGGGAGTCAGGGCATGTTTGCATGCCTGGTTTCCAGTCCAAGATTGGGAAACCCCTTTCTATTTGCAGTGCGTGCCATCTGCGAGGTTCTTTTCCTCACAAAACATTTTCGCTTTATTTTCATCAAGTGAATGTGAGCTCAGCTGAGAGGGGCGCTTCTTGGAAGTGTAAAAAAAGACTGTTTCTACAAATTTCTGTTCTTTACAGCTGTGTTTGCCGCAGCTCTCTTCTTCACCTTAATTTTCTGTGCTTACTCTTGCTGGAAGGAGACATCTGACTCTCTTGGTTTCCCTTCCAGTGGTCAGGTGCCAGCTCTACCAACCACAGCGTGCTCTCCAGGCCTCAGCCGTGCTGAGGAGAGTCTCCGATGAGCAGAAGGAGCCGTTGGCATCTTCTCAGCAGCAGTTCGATTCACATCCAACCGATCACCAGCCTGAAAAGGAACCTCAGGGCCCTCGCCCCAGGTAACTCACTAGCTATTTCTAGCGCTGTCCTGCTGACAGCGGGATCGGAAGGCTCTGCTTTCCTGAAACTCACATCTGAAGCTCGGAGACAACGAGATCCAGAGTTAATGGAGCTTTAGACTGCAGCAGCTAGAGAGCTGGTTTGCTGTGACAGTACAAATTCCACTGTCCGCCGTGGAGACAGTATGGGACTTGCTTTCAAGAGGGAACCTCTCTGGTCTGCAAAGTGCAAGCCTTCACTTCTGGATTTTTGTGTAAATCTACACAAAATATGGACAATATGTTGTCCATATGCCTATACCTATAAAGCCCCAGTTGGAAAATCTCATACTTTAGCTTTTTTTTAAAGGAGGGGGAATCTGAGGCTGATTGGTCTCCAGGTAGGCACCTAGATTGAGCCCTCCCTTATTTTTCTCTTCTTTTATGGCAAAGGTTCGTTGAGAATCCTTGTTCTGGAAAGGGAAGGATTTTACAGGAGGAGGTGAGATTTATACCAAGTAAGCAGATCTCAAAGTGTGCCTGCACACAGCAGTGGCAGTGAGTGAGTGGCAGAGTCCAGGTTGCTGATGTTTGATGGTGACATTCCCCTCACTGTAACAATACCTTCTCATAGTTACACTGGCCAGGGCGGCCAGGAGTCTGAGGACTATGAGAGCGAGGAGCAGCTGCAGCATCGAATCCTCACAGCGGCGCTGGAGTTTGTGCCTCAACATGGCTGGACTGCAGAAGCCATTGCAGAGGGAGCCAAGGTATGTGGGGAGAGAAGCAACAAACCAGTTGAAAACTGGATGGAGCTGAAGTCCAAAGACAGCCAGGCCTGCATGCTTCCCCCACATACTCTTGGGCGATGCACCCTAGTCAGCAAATGCTACTGGGCAGGAATGTGTCCCAGCTACTACAGGATCACCCTGTCAGAGTTAAACTAAGGCACGATATAGAGTAGTAATCCTAAAGAGAGGAAAACATGTACAGGAAGCACTTTTTAATGCAGCATTGCTTTGTTTAAATTCATATAACTTCATTCATGAAATAAAGATGTTTTTCTTACCTGGATCCTGCTTAGCAGTGTATGAGCCGGTCTGTGCTTCTCCCTTCTTCCCTACAGACCCTGGGTCTCTCTGTTGCTGCTGCAGGGATGTTTCACAGTGATGGCAGTGAACTGATCCTACACTTTGTGTCTCAGTGCAACACCAAGCTGTCTGAGCTGCTGGAGCAGGAACAAAAACTAGTGCAGCTGGGCAAAGCAGAGTGAGTATTGGGTATGAAAAGACATCTTCCTTGGCAGACTTTGGGGACTGGATAGACAGAGAGGGCACCTGGGACACAGATGCTTTTAAGTAAAAAATGTAATTTACCCAAATAAAACCACCTTCCCAGATAGAGAGTTGGACCAGAGGCATGAAGGATACATAATACTTTGCATATCTATTGCTGAGGCAGGCAAGAGATTGATCTTTCATGTTCAGAATTGAGTTTAACTTGGATGTTCTTCATATTTGTTTTTTTTTCTTTACTCAGGAAGAAGCCTACAGATCAATTCCTGAGAGATGCTGTGGAAGCCAGACTGAGGATGCTGATTCCATATATTGAGAAATGGCCCCAGGTATAAAATGAATATCAAGACTGTCTCTTTTTTTTGTGTGTATTTTAAACACTCTGTGGCCTTCCAACATAGTCTCTCCACCAGAGTAGTTGAAGGTTGTAAATGAAACCTCTCCATTGTTCACTCCACCCATCTGGGATCCCCAGGGGATAACCTATGTCTCTGCTCAGTCCTATTTGCAGTGTCACTGCAAGTCAGGCTGCTTGCAGCATTGTTCTGGCTGCACCGGTCTTTCCTGACACCTGGAAATGCAGAACTACTGCTTTGAGCAAGAAACTGCCTGCCTGGTGTGCAAATGACAAACCCTTGACAACCTGAGGATAGGTCTGTGAACTGAGAGGGCTCCATGATCAAAAATTCAGATTTAAGTCTCAAGCCATTCATTCCAGGGTGGGAAGGGAATTGAATTGTGGGCAGAGTAACAAGCAAAATGTTCCCAACCTTTGGCTGCAAAGTCAGCCTCTGTTGTCCAGACTCACTGCTGGCCTCTGGGCAGCTGAATCCAGTGCTCCTTGCAGAAAGAGAAGACGGGTTCGTGTTTTTGTTCCAGGTTAACAAAACTTGTCTTCTGAAGGATGTGGGTGGTTTGTGACTCTCTGGCATTGTGTTATTATGTTCAAAGGCTGCAAGATCCCAGTAGTGCCATTATGGCTGGCTGTTCTGCCCTTGGTAGCTGCTTTGAGTTCAAAGTCAAATTCAGAGAAATGAGAAATTTGACTCCCTTCCCATAGGGGCACAGCATAAGTCTGAGTCAGCTCATCCTGTGCTGTGTTTCTGTGCCTGGAGAGGCACTTTGGGAGAGACAGCACAGTGGCGTTCGAGCTGAACGGGGAGCTTTGGGCATGAGTACAGGCCGAGGCCTGAGCTTGGCTGCCGCACTGTATATTCCCTGCAAATCCTGCTGCTTGGAAGGACTGTTGCTAGCTGAAAAGGGGTGGGAGGACTTGTCACTGGGACCTAGTGGCAAGTCAGCAGCAGCAGGGAAAAGATAACAGAGCAGAGCATTGTTGGTCTGCTTTATTATTATGTCCTTCTCTCTTCAACTCTCCCATTTATCTGTGTGTTGCCTTTGCAGGCTCTGAGCATCCTGTTGCTCCCGCATAACATCCCTTCCAGCCTCAACCTCCTCACCAGCATGATCGATGATATATGGCAGTATGCTGGAGACCAGTCCACAGATGTAAGTCTTTGTGCTTTGCAGACTGGCTGGTTCTACCCTTCGCACTTCAGCAAAATGATGGGTTGAAGTACACGTCAGGCCATGTCTTTCTTGAAATGATCCATTTGTTGAACGAGGAAGACATTTTCAGAAGCACCCAAGGGTCCTTATAAGCTATAGTCTCATTTCCAAAGAGATGTAGGAGCCAATGGGACTAAATGCAAATTAGTGCCAATGGAATTAGTGGAAATTAAAAGGACCTACTTTCCTAGACTCTTTTAAGTGCTCCTTTTTTTTTTCTGAAGACACAGACAAAATTGTTGAGATTTTGAGACTAAGAAGTTGATCCAGTATTCAGTGAGCGAGCAGCGTGTCTCGTTCAAAGCAGCTGTCTCTTCCACCAGCAGTAGCATTTACAGATTTGAATTGAAAACCTTTAAAGAACCTACCTAAAAATACCAGTAGCTTATTAAAGCTTTCATCTTTCTGGCAGGAAATAAAAGAAAATTATAACCTTAATTAAAGCAATTAATAAATTACTTTAATTCATATAGATGTAAGGAGAGATGGCAAAAGCTAAATGAGCCATTTTAAAAAACTACTTTAATAAGCTTCTTTTATCTGTGTATAAAAGAGAAGCTACTGCAGAGAAAAATAAATAAGATGACAGAAAAATTAAAGGAATAAACCAAAAGAGAACTGAAAGACTATGATTACACCAGGAACTGCAAGTCCTTTACGGGTTATGAAAGTCAAATCAACAGGTCAAGAGTCAGTGTCTGCACTGAGCTGCTCCTAAAGTCTCCTCACCAACGTAGGGATTAGGAGAGGTTCTAAAGTTTCTCTTTTGTTTGCACCTTCCGACCAGTTACGTGAGTTTTCTTGGGAAGCTGTGGTGCTGACCCCACTCCCTCTTTCCCAGTAAAAGGGTTTAATGTCACTCACAGTGGAGCCCTCTTCACAATGCCAGGAGCTCAACAGAGTATGCCTATGCCTCCAAGACCCCTTCAGGTGTTTTTTTTTTTGAGCAGGAGGAGTTTGGTCTCAGGCACCTGAGAGATCCAGTTGCAAGTAGCAGCATCCCTCATGTTTTTCCCCTTGTCAAAGCTTGCAGGTTGTGGTGCAGAAAGTAGAGCTTTTGAGCCAACTATTGTCTTCAAAATCAAGGCCTGTGTTTTCATTTTTCTTTTGCTTTGTAATTGTGAATGGAACAACCAGTATTTTTTCTAGGTAATAGCAGCAAATGAAGTTGAAAACTGGTTTTTAAAAATGTTTATATATTTTGTCTGCCAGTGGTTCAAGTGCAACTGGAAAAACTGAAAAGTTTGAGTTATTTGTGCATCTTTGCATTGTGTAACCTGTTGTTGTAGTGCATCCTACAGCATTGCTGCCAGCAGTGTACTGGTGGATTTAGTGATTCAGCAGGCGGTACTGGTATTTCAATGATAGGATTTGGGAAAGGGGTATCTCTGTGTGATGTCTTGTACAGTTCTGTCCTCTGTTCCCTTTCTTCACGCTTGTATCTGATGTGAACTGCAGCTGAAGTTCAATACTAAATATAGCTGTTTCTTATCTAATCAGATCTAGAATCAGAGCTTTGCATTGCCTGATAGCAGTCCATGAAGCAAAGATGAACTCTTTCGCTGTGCATGCCGGCTAGCTGAGCAAGGGAGAATTCCTTGCTGTCTGCTGCAGGTGCCTGCTTGCAACCAGAAGCAGGTGGTGGGGATTTTGTTCAGCAGTTTTAGACACCGTACTTGTGACCTCTATCTGGTGCCACGGGAGCAGCTGTGCTGTCAGATGTCAGTGTTGGCTGGAGGCCCACTGCATCACAGAGACGATTTATACAGTTTAAGTGGGAAAGGAATGTGCAGTCGGTATGCTATTTTCCTCTGCCGTTCTCCTGTCTACGTTTGTGAGCTGCATTCTTGATCTGCGTTCAGGTCACACCTTTCTCTCTCTCTCTCTCTCTCTCTCTCATTTCATGCCCTTGCAGTTCAACTGGTACACTCGTCGGGCTGTGCTCACTGGCATCTACAACACCACTGAACTGGTGATGATGCAGGATTCATCCCCTGACTTTGAGGACACTTGGCGCTTCCTGGAAAACAGAGTAGCTGATGCCATGAACATGGGCAATACAGCTAATCAGGTAACATTACAGGCAAGGTATACACACAGTGTCCCCCTTCTCCCCAAATATAAATGCAGGCAGACCTGGCATTTCAGTCACGCAGGCCACACGTCTGCTGAGAGACTACCTTGTATTGGCGGGTGATTGCATAAATGCTTCGGTTCAACATAAATAAACACCTATTTTCTAGTGAAATGATATGTAGGCGCACTCTTTGTCAGACTGGCCCGATGGCTAGGAGACACATATTCCCAGGAAATCTCTTCCGCGCTTCTTATCTCTGGCTATCATTTGTCTGCAGTGCTTGGCTTCTGTCAGCACCTTTCTGTAGCAAATAAATGTTTGTTGTGCATTATGTCTCTGTTTGGGTGGCCATAAGTGTAACTGCAGAAGCCAAAGGTCATGTTCTCCTTGTGTCTCCTAGGTACAGTCAACCGGAGAAGCAGTTGTCCAGGGCCTGATGGGAGCTGCGGTTACTGTAAGTAATGCTGAAACCAGCAGGGCTGTAAGGGCAGAATTGTTTCTCTTCCCTTCCATGCTGAATGTCAGCATGTTTTTCCTCCCAAATCTATAAGATGGCATGAAAGAGAATTGTCTTTTGTAACTTAACTACACGTCAGGATGATTTTCTGGGTTGTTTGGGGTTAATTCACTGTTTTGTGGTGAAAGAACTTGTAATAGAGCATAAAAAATTTAACTCTGAAGGTGCAGGGTGAGCTTTAGGGATGAGAGACTGGCAATCAGAATAAATACAACTGTTCTCCATCGCTTGTCATGAGATCTCTTCCTCTGCCAGTCCCCGTGCTGGAGATCTTGACGGAAGGTGCATGCCCCCGTGGGCACACAGGAGGTGGCACCTGTCCCTGAGCCACAGTGGGGTGACTTCCTCAAGCTGTTTCAGCTGACTGCAGTGTCCTTCCAAGAATTCATGCACATATTGGCAGCATCCTGGACTGCTTTGTGTCCATGCAGAGGGAGCTGCACTTCCTCTGGGATACAAAACAATCCTTTCTGTACTCAGGAATGATTTCTGAAGGGCTTCAGGGCCTCCCTGTGATTCTATTTTTGGACAATTCCCATTGCATTTAGCAGCAAAGTGATTTCCTTGTTACCAGAAAAACGTTTTCCTTGTACCAGTACAAGACAAACAGGCTGGAACGTAAATGAGAAATAATTTTTACTGTACGAAGCAGTTCTCAAGAATTTCTCCCACTTCCTTCCCCCTGTGGTTACGGCAGAATCGTTTTGTAACTTCTGTGTTTCTCAGCCTCTCTCTGCTCTCACACCTGCCTATGCCAAAAGGATCCTCCACTAGAGAAATAAATCCCGGTGCTCTGTCCATGCTCTCGTACCTCAGCACGACACTCTCATCCCTGCGGCTCGGGTCTGGGATGTCTCCCATCACCAGCTGTTTAGTCTGTCCCTGCAGCAGACCCACTGCGCAGATGAACAGGAGGAACTACTAGACTGTTTCCCATGCGGGGTGGTTTGCAGCCAGCTGGTTTTAGGGCAAAAATCATCCCAGTACATTAACTATAGGGGTAACCGGTCTGGAGCTCCCATGGGCAAGGGTGGAGCCGCTGTACGGGTGTGCTGAGCTCTGCAGGTCTCTGCAAAACGGACGAGCAACCTGCACGCCTCATCAGGGGCTTAAATTCTCTGTCGGGGTCTGTGCGGCCACGGAAATAAAACCAGGCTGAAGCCCACTGACCGAGAGAGCGGGTTCAGCTCGGGGGCGGGCGGGGGGGGGTGCTGGGGCTGGATCCAGGGCGACCTTTGTCCGCCCCCTCGGCATTCACGGTGCCTTTTCGCCGGGGGCGCCGGTACTGAACCCCCTCCTCCCTCTGCCCCACAGATCAGGAACCTGGCGGGGCTGAACCAGCGCCGGTGAGGAAGGAACCGACGGCGGAGGAGCGGCGCCGGGCCGGGCCGCGCCCGACCCTTCCCCGGCACCAATAAAGCCGTACCCCAGCCTGGCACGGACTCTTTTTGGGGGCGCACCGGCGGCGGAGAGCGGGGAGCGGGGAGCGGGGCGGGGACGGACCGGGCGGGTCC